AATGGGATGGGATTTGCTCTGTTTATATACTGTGGCATGCCCTGCCAGTGTTGGTGGGGGTGGGGGCTTTGTTTTGCTTTATTTTTATCTCTGGTAGTTCCTTGATTAGGGTATCATTTACTGCTTGATTATCTGTCTGGTGGTAATCTTGGTGTTAATCTCTGCTTATCTGGGTGATGATTGCTGGTGAGGAGGTGTTCTGGTCTTTGGTTTCTTTTCTTTTGTCTCTTTTGAATAGTGTGTAGATGTTTATCTCTAGGTGCCTGTTGATGGCTGCCTTGTCTGAATACCGAGCTTCCAGGAATTCCCTCGCATTTTTGGATTTAGCTTGGTCTAAGATGCTGAGAGTTTCCCAGTTGAAACTATGGTTAAGTCTGTCCATGTGTTGTGTCCATGTGTTTCCTGGATATCCTATCAGCAGAGGAAACAACAGCAAATTAGAAACCAAAGTCTATTGGAAGACAACCCACACTAATCAAATACTCCATTACCAAAGCAACAACCCAGCCTCCCACAAGAGGAGCTGCGTAAGAACATTATTCAAACGAGCGCAATCACACTGCAGCAACCCAGAACAGCAGAAAAAGGAAACAGACCACCTATACGACATCTTCCAACAAAATGGATACCCACGCAACTTTATCAGAAAGTGCCTGGCCACTCAACCCACTACAGCACAACCAACACAAGCTATGAAAAGGATCACACTGCCATAAATCAGAAACGTCTCAGAAACCACCAACAGACTATTACAACCACATGGCATCTCCGTGGCACACAAATAAACTGAAGCCCTGCAAAACACCTTAAGTAAACCAAAAGACCCAGTAGCCCAAGAAGGAAAAACAGGAGTCATCTACGACATACAGTGTAAGGACTGTGACAGTTGCTATGTAGGACAGACAGGCAGAAGGCTGGCAGAGCGCATCCACGAGCACCAACTAGCAGACAGAAGATGCGATGGAAACTCCATAATCTCACAACACATGGACAGACATAACCATAGTTTCAACTGGGAAACTCTCAGCATCTTAGACCAA